GTAATGTCACCATGGTTGTTTAATATATTTATAGATGGGGTTGTAAAAGAAGTAAATTGCTAGGGTGTTCGGAGAGGGGTGGGATTAATTATGGGGAATCAAATTCAAAATGGGAATTGACAGTTACTTTTTGCTGATGATACTGTGCTTATGGGAGGATTCTAAAGAAAAATTGCAAAGGATAGTGGATGAGTTTGGGAGTGTGTGTAAAGGTAAAAAGTTGAAAGTGAACATAGAAAAGAGTAAGGTGATGAGGGTATCAAATGATTTAGATAAAGAAAAATTGGGTATCAAATTGGGGAAGAGGAGTATGGAAGAAGTGAATGTTTTCAGATAGTACTTGGGAGTTGACGTGTCGGCGGATGGATTTATGAAGGATGAGGTTAATCATAGAATTGATGAAGGAAAAATGGTGAGTGGTGTGTTGAGGTATATGTGGAGTCAAAAAACATTATCTATGGAGGCAAAGAAGGGAATGTATGAAAGTATAGTAGTACAACACTCTTTATGGATGTGAAGCTTGGGTGGTAAATGCAGCAGCGAGGAGACGGTTGGAGGCAGTGGAGATGTCCTTTCTAAGGGCAATGTGTGGTGTAAATATTATGCAGAAAATTCAGAGTGTGGAAATTAGGAGAAGGTGTGGAGTTAATAAAATCATTAGTCAGAGGGCAGAAGAGGGGTTGTTGAGGTGGTTTGGTCATTTAGAGAGAATGGATCAAAGTAGAATGACATGGAAAGCATATAAATCTATAGGGGAAGGAAGGAGGGGTAGGGGTCATCCTCGAAAGGGTTGGAGAGAGAGGGGGTAAAGGAGGTTTTGTGGGTGAGGGGCTTGGACTTCCAGCAAGCGTGCGTGAGCGTGTTAGATAGGAGTGAATGGAGACGAATGATACTTGGGACCTGACGATCTGTTGGGGTGTGAGCAGGGTAATATTTAGTGAAGGGATTCAGGGAAACCGGTTATTTTCATATAGTCAGACTTGAGTCCTGGAAATGGGAAGTACAATGCCTGCACTTTAAAGGAGGGGTTAGGGATATTGGCAGTTTGGAGGGATATGTTGTGTATCTTTGTATGTATATGCTTCTAAACTGTTGTATTCTGAGCACCTCTGCAAAAACAGTGATAGTGTGTGAGTGTGGTGAAAGTGTTGAATGATGATGAAAGTATTTTCTTTTTGGGGATTTTCTTTCTTTTTTGGGTCACCCTGCCTCGGTGGGAGATGGCCGACTTGTTGAAAAAAAAAAATGTATGATAATAATAATAATGTGAATAATAACAATACATATAATATAAATAATATAATACAACAATAATAATAATAATAATAATAATAATAATAATAGTAATAATAATGGTAATATATGTATAATAATAATACATATATAATAATAATGTACTACATATAATAATTATAATAATAGATGGCTTCAAAAGGCCATTACTAGATGGCAGTGTTTACCACAACAAAGAGGGAGCGGTTGTGGCCGCCTCCACTTGTTACATAATGACATATTTTATTCATTCTAGAGTATATATCGTGTTTCTATGTTATTTATGTTGTCTGTTATGTCATATTAGTTGAACTGTGATATATAAATAAGCCATATAGATGATATTAAAGAAATTATTCATGAAGAATTTTTGCCCGGTGTCCACACAAACTCTCGTCCACCGCCGACACTGCCCATACCACTACATGAATGACATATTTTATTCATTTTAGAGTATATGTCAGGTTTCTATGTTATTTATATTGTTTATTATGTCATATTAGATGAAGTGAGATAGATAAATAAGCCGTAGAGTTGATATTAGCGAAATTATTGAAGTACAGAATTCCACTGGAACGGATTAATTGCATTTCAATTAATTTAAATGAGGAAAATTGACTCTGCAAACGAGCAAATCCAGTTGCGAGCAAGGTCATGGAATGGATTAAACTTGCAAGTAGAGGTTCCACTGTATTTACACCACACATTGCCCTTAGAAAGGACATCTCCACTGCCTCCAACCACCTCCTCGCTGCAGCATTTACAACCCAAGCTTCACACCCATATAAGAGTGTTGGTACCACTATACTTTCATACATTCCTTTCTTTGCCTCCATAGATAATGTTCTTTGTCTCCACATATACCTCAATGCACCACTCACCTTTTTTCCCTCATCAATTCTATGATTAACCTCATCCTTCAGAAATCTATCCGCTGATACATCAACTCCCAAATATCTGAAAACATTCACTTCTTCCATACTTCTCCTCCCAAATTTGATACACAATGTTTCTTATCTAGATCATTTGATACCCTCATCACCTTACTCTTTTCTATGTTCACTTTCAACTTTCTACCTTTACACACACTCCCAAATTCGTCCACTAACCTCTGCAATTTTTCTTTAGAATCACCCATAAGTACAGTATCATCAGCAAAAAGTAACTGTGTCACTTCCCATTTTGTATTTGATTCCCCATAATTTAATCCCACCCCTCTCTCGAACACCCTAGCATTTACTTCTTTTACAACCCCATCTATAAATATATTAAACAACCATGGTGACATTACACATCCCTGTCTAAGACCTGCTTTTACTGGGAAGTAGTCTCCCTCTCTTCTACACACCCTAACCTGAGCCTCACTGCCCTCATAAAAACTCTTTACAGCATTTAGTACCTTACCTCCTATTCCATATACTTGCAACATCTGCCACATTGCTCCCCTATCCACTCTATCATATGCCTTTTCTAAATCCATCAATACAATAAAAACTTCCCTACCTTTATCTAAATACTGTTCACATATATGCTTCAATGTAAACACCTGATCTACACATCCCCTACCCACTCTAAAACCTGCTTGCTCATCCGCAATCCTACATTCTGTCTTACCTCTAATTCTTTCAATAATAACCCTACTGTACACTTTTCCTGGTATACTCAGTAAACTAATTCCTCTATAATTTTTACAGTCTCTCTTGTCCCCCTTCTCTTTATATAAAGGGACTATACATGCTCTCTGCCAATCCCTAGGTACCTTCCCCTCTTTCATACATTTATTAAACAAAAATACCAACCACTCCAACACTATATCCCCCCTGCTTTTAACATTTCTGTCATGATCCTGTCAGTTTCAGCTGCTTTACCCCATTTCATTCTACGTAATGCCGCACGCACCTCCTCCACACTTACATCCTGCTCTTCTTCACTCCTAAAAGATGGTATACCTCCCTGGCCAGTGCATGAAATTACCGCCTCCCTTTTTTCGTCAACTTTTAAAAGTTCCTCAAAGTATTCTCAACATCTGCCCAATACCTCCATCTCTCCATCTGCTAACTCTCCTACTCTGTTTTTAACTGAAAAATCCATACGTTCCCTAATCTTTCTTAACTTGTTTAACTCCAAAATTTTTTCTTATTTTCATTAAAATTTCTTGACAGTGCCTCTCCCACTCTATCATCTGCTCTCCTTTTGCACTCTCTCACCACTCTGTTCACCTTTCTTTTACTCTCCATATACTCTGCTCTTCTTATAACACTTCTGCTTTGTAAAAACCTCTCATAAGTTACCTTTTTCTCTTTTATCACACCCTTTACTTCATTATTCCACCAATCACTCCTCTTTCCTCCTGCACGCACCCTCCTATAACCACAAACTTCTGCCCAACATTCTAATACTGCATTTTTAAACCTCTTCCAACCCTCTTCAACCTCCTCACTACTCATACTTGCACCAGCCCACCTTTCTGCCAATAGTTGCTTATATCTCCCCGTAACTTCCTCCTCCTTTAGGTTATACACTTTCACCTCCCTCTTACTTCTTGTTGCCATTTTCCTCTTGTCCCATCTACCTCTTACTCTATCTGTAGCTAAAACTAGATAATGATTCGATATATCATTCGCCCCTCTATAAACGTGTACATCCTGAAGCCTACTCATCAACCTTTTATCCACCAATACATAATCTAACAAACTACTTTCATTATGTGCTATATCATACCTTGTATATTTATTTATCCTCTTTTTCATAAAATATGTATTACTTATTACCAAACCTCTTTCTACACATTGCTCAGTTAAAGGCTCCCCATTTTCATTTACCCTTGGCACCCCAGATTTACTTACTACTCGCTCCATAACATTTTTACCCACTTTAGCATTTAAATCCCCAACCACAAGTACTCTCACACTTGGTTTAAAACTCCCCACGCATTCACTCTACATTTCCCAAAATCTCTCTCTCTCTCCTCTACACTTCTTTCTTCTCCAGGTGCATATATGCTTACTATAACCCACTTTTCACATCCAACCTTTATTTTACTTCACATAATCCTTAAATTCGTACATTTATACTCCCTCTTTTCCTGCCATAGCTTATCCTTCAACATTATTGCTACTCCTTTTTTAGCTCTAACTCTATTTGAAACCCCTGACCTAATCCCATTTATTCCTCTCCACTGAAACTCTCCCACCCCCTTCAGCTTTGTTTCACTTAAAGCCAGGACATCCAGCTTCTTCTCATTCATAACATCCACAATCATCTCTTTCTTATCATTTGCACAACATCCATGCAAGAGGATTAGGGCTTAAATGAAAATGGCTTTTGCAGTGCCAGAATGTATGGTGATAAATACAGATGGTAAAGGAAAAAACTACTTTAGATGTTAGTGTTAAAAATATAAAGGGTAAGGAAAAAACTATGTGATAGGTATGAAAACCTGATTGTAGAAGCAAAAGCCAGATAGCAGAAAAAGTATCCCAAAGAAATATAAAAGTAATAAAGCTGTTTTATTTAATTTTGAGGGCATCTTTTTGCCCATTTACAGTTTATAAAGTAGTGGTATGGAATTCTTTATCAGTTGTATGTTCCCCTTCATTTACTTTTTATACCCTCACGAGGTGACTTGTATGGTTGTTCCTAAAGGAAAGAAGTCATTGAAGTGTGGGAGATAAATAGGTATTCACATATATGTGACTTCGTATCTTATATTCTGAATTGTTACACAGGGGATCAAGCGTATTTCCAAGCTCAAAGGATAGCTGTACAAGCAGTGTACAGTCCCCTTCAAGATCAGATTGGCAAATATCAAGAATATGAGGAAGCCTTATTACTCTCTCATCTCATATCTGCAGGTAAATGCTAAATTTAACAATTTGGTAGCTAATATTAAACCTTAAACTGTCTTAAGGAGTGGAAATGTTGCAGCTCAATCTGTTGACTTGTGGTCCCCACGCATTTCTGTCAAGGTAGTTATTATGAATGAATGATGGCGAGTGTAATTGGTGGGAGACAGCTGGTGGTAGTCACTTTTCAGGTATGCTAAGGAAAAACCAAAATCAAGAACTATGAAGAATTTTTATAACACTAATGTTAAAATGTTTTATTTTCAGACATTGTGAAAAGTGAAATGGCAGAAACACTGTGCAGGTTACGTGAATACTGTGGCAAATTGTCTAGTCAAGCTGATTCTGCAGCAGAGAGATGTTTACAAGTAAGAAACTAGAGAGCTTTTTCCTTGCCTTATATTGTATTTTTTTTTTTTTTTTGAACACATTGGTTATCTCTCACAGAGGCAAGGTGACCAAAAATATTGTAATTTTTTTCTACTAATATTAACCCTTAAATGGTCCAAACAGATCGACGTTCAAATTCGTAGTGCTACAAAAGTAGATCTACTTTTTTTTCATATTTTCAAATGTAACAAAAAAAATAATGTAGATTAAAGTTTTTTTTACACATTTTCAAATGTAAAATAAAAAAGATCTATATTTTTTTACATACTTTCAGAAGTTGAAAAAACGTATATATACGTTTGGACCGTTTAAGGGTTAATTATCCCAGTTTATTTTTTATGTTCATTTTTGAACAGATTTCTTTATCTTATGTACATTTTAAATTTTGAGGTGGGACATTTTCATATCTCCAGTTTTCCAAGTTTAGTAAATGGAACAAAGCATCAAAAAATATTATTTAATAATTTTTTTTTTTGCAAAGATACTGCATAATAGGTTATTTTATTGTATTAAGTACCTAATTATCTACTATATATATATTTCTCCATTTGTTTAATGAAGCTATTTTTTTTTATTTAGCTATAATAATATGAGAACTTGAGTAGTAGGTTGGTAGACAGCAGCTGCCCAGGGAGGTACAGTGGACCCCTGCCTTACAATGGCATTGCGTTATGTTATATCCGCCATATGATACATTTTAAAGCAAAAATTTTGCCTCGCCTCGTGCTAAAAAACTCTCCTTATGTGATTCGTCTGGGACGCGTCCCACGTGTGGCTTCAGCACCAGTGTTTACAAGCCAGCCAGTGCGGTCGCATACATTCGGTACATTTCACCTTATCCCAGTGTTTTTTGTGCTTGTAACTGCAAAATAAGTTACCATAGGCCCCAAGAAAGCTTCTAGTGCCAACCCTGTGGTAAAAAGGGTGAGAATTAGTATGGAAATTAAGAAAGATTTTGAAGGGTTTGGAGCTAACCCTGAGAAGCCTAAGCCAGTTGTGGAATCCATTGTGCCTACTTCAAAGATTAAGGAAATGTGTGCAAAGTGGGTTGAAGTGCAAACCTTTATGGATGAAAATCACCCTAACACAGCTATTGCAAGCTGTGCTGTTGACTATTACAATGACAATGTTGTGGCCCATTTTAGGCAAATCTTGAAGGAACGGGAGGTACGGACCTCTATGGACAGATTTTTTGTGTGACAGAGGTCCAGTGACTCTCAGGCTGGTCCTAGTGGCATTAAAAGAAGGGAAGTAACCCTGGAAAAGGACTTGCTACCTCAAGTCCTAATGGAAGGGGATTCCCCTTCTAAACAATAATTTCCACACTCTCCCCTCCTCCCATCCTATCAATCATCACCAGATCTTCAATAAAGGCATGTGTCATGTATTCTATTCTTGGTAGAGTAGTAATTGTGCATGTCTTCTTCAGTTTGTGTGTATTAGCAAGGGTGTTAAAGGAATGTAAAGAGGAACTTAGAATACCTTTGGCTAATCTTTTAAACATATCACTACAAACTGACATAGTGCCTGATAAGTGGAAAATGGCAAATGTAATACCTATTTACAAGGCAGGTGACAGGTCCTTGGCTTTGAACTATAGACCAATAAGCCTTACCTCCATAGTGGGAAAATTTATGGAATCAATAATTGCTGAAGCAATTCGTAGCCATCTTGACAGGCACAGATTGATTAATGAATCTCAACACGGTTTTACAAAGGGGCGTTCCTGTCTTACGAATTTACTAACTTTTTTTCACTAAGGTGTTTGAGGAGGTAGATCATGGTAATGAATATGATATTGTGTATATGGACTTCAGTAAGGCTTTCGATAGAGTTCCACACCAGAGGCTACTGAGGAAACTTAAGGCACACGGAATATGAGGAGAAATTTTTTCCTGGGTAGAGGCATGGCTGACAAATAGACAGCAGAGAGTTTGCATAAATGTGGAGAAATCAGAATGGGGGCATGTCACAAGCGGTGTTCCTCAGGGGTCAGTGTTGGGCCCGTTGTTGTTCACAATTTACATAAACGACATAGATGAGGGAATAAATAGCGACATATGTAAATTTGCTGATGACACCAAAATAGGCTGTCCAATTCATTCTGATGAGGACACTAGAGCACTCCAGGATGATTTGAATAGACTGATGCAATGGTCGGAGAAGTGGCAGATGCAGTTTAATATTGACAAATGTAAAGTTCTAAATGTTGGACAGGTAAATAACCATGCCACATATAAACTAAATAATGTAGATCTTAATACTACTGATTGCGAAAAGGATTTAGGAGTTCTGGTTAGCAGTAATTTAAAACCAAGACAACAGTGCATTAGTGTTCGCAATAAAGCTAACAGAATTCTTGGCTTCATATCTAGAAGTATAAATAATAGAAGTCCTCAGGTTGTTCTTCAACTCTATATATCCTTGGTTAGGCCTCATTTAGACTATGCTGCTCAGTTCTGGTCACCGTATTACAGAATGGATATAAATGCTCTGGAAAACGTATAGAGGAGGATGACAAAGATGATCCCATGTATCAAATCTTCCCTATGAGGATAGACTGAGGGCCCTGAATCTGCACTCTCTCGAAAGGTGTAGAATTAGGGGGATATGATCGAGGTGTATAAATGGAAAACAGGAATAAATAAAGGGGATGTAAATAGCGTGCTGAAAATTTCCAGCCAAGACAGGACTCGCAGCAATGGTTTCAAGTTGGAAAAATTCAGATTCAGAAAGGATATAGGAAAGCACTGGTTTGGTAATAGAGTTGTGGATGAGTGGAACAAACTCCCGAGTACAGTTATTCAGGCTAAAATGTTGTGTAGTTTTAAAAATAGGTTAGATAAATACATGAGTGGGTGTGGGTGGGTGTGGGTGGGTGTGAGTTGGACCTGACTAACTTGTGCTGCTGGGTCTAGTGCAGTGCTCCATCCTTGAGTGGAGATGATCAGACTGGGTGGGTCATTGGTCTAATCTGGGAGGGGACATGGACCTGCTCCACATGGGTCAGTAGGCCTGTTGCAGTGTTCCTTCTTTCTAATGTTCTTATTAAAATTAATATTTCATGTGGTAAAAATTTTTTTTTTTCATAGTTTGGAATGTCTTCCACGGATTAATTTGATTTCCATTATTTCTTATGGGGAAAATTAATTCGCCTTACGATAATTTCGGCTTACGATGAGCTCTCAGGAACGGATTTATATTGTAAGGCAGGGGTCCACTGTACTACCGTCCTGCCAAGTGAGTATAAAACGAAAGCCTGTAATTGTTTTACATGATGGTAGGATTGCTGGTGTCTTTTTTGTCTCGTAAACGTGCAAGATTTCAGGTACGTCTTGCTACTTGTACTTACACTTAGGTCACACTACACATACATGTACAAGCATATATATACACACCCCTCTGAGTTTTCTTCTATTTTTTTCTAGTTCTTGTTCTTGTTTATTTGCTCTTATCTCCTTGGGGAAGTGGAACATAATTCTTCTTCCGTAAGCCATGCGTGTTGTAAGAGGTGACTAAAATGCCTGTATAAATTACTAAATTTAAAAAGAGAAAGTTTTGTTTTTTCTTTTTGGGCCACCCTGCCTTGGTAGGATACAGCTGGTTTGTTGATTTTTTTTTTTTTTTTTGCAAAGATACTGCATAAAAAGTTATTTTATTGTATTAAGTACCTAATTATCTACTATATATATATTTCTCCATTTGTTGTTTAATGAAGCTATATTTTTTTATTTAGCTATAATAATATGAGAACTTAAGTAGTAGGTTGGTAGACAGCAACCTCCCAGGGAGGTACTACCATCCTGCCAGGTGAGTGTAATACGGAAGCCTGTAATTGTTTTACATAATCGTAGGATTGGGCTACCCTGCCTCGGTGGGATACGGTCAGTTTGTTGAAAAAAGAATATTATGAGAAGAAGGCTAGAGGCAGTGGAGATGTTGTGCTCAAAGGCAATATGTGGGTTAAATATTATTTAGAGAATTCGTAGTGTGGAAATTAGGAAATGTGGAGTTGCTAAAAGTATTATTCAGAGGGCTGAGGAAAGGTTGTTGAGGTGGTTTGGTCATTTAGAGAGGTTGGAGCACAGTAGGATGACTTGAAGGGTACATAAATCTGTAGTGGAGGGAAGGCGGGGTAGAGGTCATCCTAGAAAAGGATGGAGAGAAGGGGTAAAAGAGATTTTGTGTGCTTGGACATACAGCAGGCATGTGTGACTGTGTTACACAGGAGTGAGTGGAGACAAATGGCTTTTGGGACTTGATGAGCTATTGGAGTGTGAGCAGGGTAATATTTTGTAAAGGGATTCAGGGAAACCAGTTAGCCGGACTTGAATCCTAGAGGTGGAAGTACAGTACCTGCACTTTAAAGGAGGGTTTTGGGATCCTTGCTGTTCAGAGTGACTTAAAAACTGCCATATCTATGTGCCTCTGCAAAGACAGTAATAGTGTAAATGATGGTGAAAGTGTTTCTTTTTTTGGGTCCTCTACCTCAGTGAGAGATGGTCAGCATGTTAAAAAAAAAAAATGCAGATATAGTGGACCCTTGGTTATCGGCCGTAATCCGTTCCAGAAGGTTGGCCTAAATCCAAAAAGGCTGAAAACTGAACTAATATTTCCCATAAGAATTAATGTAAATCCAATTAATCCGTTTCAGACACCCAAAAATATTAACAAAAAATACATTTTTTGAAGATTAACATACATACAGAAAACAATGAGAAATACATATAAAGCATAAATTTTAATGATAAATAAACATTACATACCTTTTATTGAAGACTCTTGCTGGCATATTGAAGAAGGCAGGAGGGGAGATGGAGGTGGGAATCCCCAGCTCCAACTCCCCTCTGTGTAGTGTAGCTTTCCAGGGCTACACTAGCCTAGGGGATGAGTTTAATTGTTTCTAACCTTTAGATTCCATCATAAACAAAGGGAGAAGTAATGAATAATTCATGTCGAGAATTATAAACATATGCATATGAAGGGCGGTTACTGGGTGAGATGCCAGATTCACAGTTTTCTCTAACGCTGAATCAGAGAAAATGTAATGTTTACTCTCCACATATATGCTATGTAACATGTTTCTTATATAATTTTGAAGAAAATATCATTGATGGATTAATGAAAATGTCTGTATTAACCTAAATTAAGACATTTAATGTGCTCAAGATTGATTTATTACGTGTCCAATATGGCTGATCTCCGAAATAACGGCTGATAACCAGGATAGAATTTCAGCCAAAAAAACAGGTGAAAACTGAATTGGCCGATATCCAGAATGGCTGATAACCGAGGGTCCACTGTACAGTAGATATTGCAGCATCTGTTGTATCTGTAATAAATTATTTGTTATTATCTATTCGTCATTATAGGGTCAGAGCTATGCTAATGCTGTTCCATCTTCAGTGTTTACTTTGTCATATAATTTTTTAAAACTGTCAGCAGTTATAGAATTTACTACTACTTGGACCCCATTCCAAAAATGGTATCTGTATGAAGCGAATATACTTTTTACTCTCCTTAGCTCACAAGTGGATGGTCATTTCCTGCTCTCATAGCAGCTCTTGCCACATATGTAGAACAGTTTACTAGTCGGCTGACTCATGCTGCTCGGCACATTGAAAAGCAGAAAGCTTCTATTACTGATGACTGGACTGTGTTTACTACATGTCTCAATCTTATGCAAGCTGCAGGTAAGATAAAAAAAAAACAGTAACATCTTATATCACCCTACTATTGTAAGAAATGGTCAATATATTGTAGTAAAAAAATAAAAAAAATAATAAGACATTATAAGGTTGCAAGATTGTATGGGAAAACTAGGGACTAGAACTATTCTAAAAAATGCCTTTGTGAGCAGGGGCAGTGACAGAATTTCTATACTAGGAAGGGGGCTCAGGGGTGGCTATTTGGTTAGGAGGAGGGGCTAGGAACTTGTTTTGAAGCAATGTATTATTATTTGATTGGGGAGTTTCAGCCCCTGAAGCCCATTTATGAGATACCTATGACTCTATCATGTTGGAGCTTGAGGAATAATGGCAAAGAATCCCCGTGCTTTAAAATGGAAAGACAAAACCATTTTGCCTGTTATCTGGTAGTCAAGCCATTAGAATGAATGATAGGAATCATTGTTGACTGGTTTAAGCAAGAACCTCACACTCAGGATTTTCCTGACTCTTGATTCCTGTGCTCATCCTGGACTATTGCAGGATTTCAGCCCAAATATGATTTTTTTTTTACCAACAAATATGACATCACTGATACAGCCACTGGATTAAGGTGTAATTAAGTTGTTTACATGTAGCTACACATGCAGAGTGGTGCAGAAACTCCTTGCAGCAGTAGACAATGACTCAGAGCTTGGAGTGCCAGAATTCTGGCATAAATTCAACATTGCAGATGCTTTACTCCATGTCAGAACTGTATGGGAAATTGTGCCCAAATCAGCAATACATGCAGGCTCGAGAAAATTATGGCCTAGTGTGGTGAATAATTTCATGGGCTTTTCCCCTTAGTTGAGAGTCTAAGTCCTGGAAATTGTTCAGCTGGCAGGTGAGGGCTCTGAAGACCTGCAGCCAGAAGTTGTCAGTGAACTCGTAGAAGATGAGGAAGAAAGAAGTCCAGAGGAAATATTGTCGGAGTTCACTTCTCAAAGAGAAAAGATTCAGACAGTAGAAGAGGATTTGGAAGAAGAGCCTGCAGAGAAACAGTTAATTCTACAACAGTTATATGAGCAGTTCCATGTTGCTACTAAACCTGCAGACTTTTTCACTGAAGAGGACTCTGACACATCTAATGTGAAAGCACTACTCTTAAATGGATGCTGGACCAAGCAGTAATGCCCTACTGTGAGCTCTACTGCTGGGTAACAGCATCTCTGAGATGCACGACAATACTTGAGGGGCTCCTGTGACTAGCAGCTGTGAGTTGATCTCAGCCCACAGTCCCCAGTTATCCACTTTAGCTTATGAAACCCAGCCCTCCACTTCGTCCACCTCAGCCACCTCATTTGTGACTCAGTAGGGTTACAGTAGGGCCCCACTTATACGGCTGGTTAGGTTCCAGGCTACCGCCGTAAAGCGGAAACCGCCATAAAGTGGAACACCCTTTTTTTCCACTTACAAATGCATACAAACACTAGATAACAAGTTTACACTAACATATATTAAGTTAGCAATAGAACCAGGCATCAAAAAAAAATAAAAAAGTACAATACACATATAGTGCACTCATTACTTACCTTAAAATATTTATAGTCTTAATCTAGGGTGAGACAAGTAGTATTTATTGTAAGAAATCAAGTGTGGTATGTATGGTAGTCAGCCAGGCTACCATACCAGGCCAACCCACCTACACATAATATTCTATTACATTTAAGCATCCCAGAGCGATAAAATGTATATACAGTTCACTCATTACTTACCTTAAAATATTTGTAGTCTTAATGTAGGGTCAGGAGTAAGTAAATGAGATAAAACGAATAAATGAGAGAGAGAAAGAATGAGTGCATGAGAGAGTACAGGCGCAGAGTTATGTAAACAAACCAGGCGAAGGTAGTTTTGTAAACAAAGTGTACACGTCTGGTTTGTGTACAAGTTACATTGTGTACAGGTTGTCTCTACATTGATACGGTAGAATAAATAAAGAAGAACACTCCCATTCTCATGTAACATCATTTTGAGAAGAAATGATGCTCTGAGTGAAGGCAATGGAAATAAGTCACTCTGACTTTTTTGGGTTATCCTAGGTTCTCTACACATATGTTGTTATGTATGAAAATCTATGTAACTGTATTTGTGTATACCTGAATAAACTTACATACATACGAAAGGAATAATTTTCTACAGTTACCCCCAGTAACACATTTTCTCTTATGTTAGATTAGAGAAAATGTTATTCTTGGCATCACTTGTACAAGTTATCTGGCTACCACATCTCATATTTATGTTTATTTATTCTATTGTAGGGTGTATTTATCATCTTTTTATGTTATGTAACGTGTTTATTATATAATTTTGAGAAAAATATCATGGATGGATTAATGAAAATGTGTATATTAACGTAATATACAACATTTAATGAGACTCGGTGATTATTATTATTATTATTATTATTATTTCTAATATGGCGTCACTTGTGCAAGTCGTCTGCTACCACATCTCATATTTATGTTTATTTATTCTATTGTGGGGTGTATTTATCATCTTTTTATGTTATGCATCATGTTTTTTATATAATTTTGAAAAAATATCATAGATGGATTAATGAAAATATGTATTTAACGTAATATACGACATTTAAATGAGACTCGATGATTATTATTATCATTACTAATATGACGTCTGGAGACATAAGACACTCTTACTGATTTTAATGTGTACCTGCATGCCAGCACAGTACAGTGGACCCCCGCTTAACGATCACCTCCAAGTGCGTTTGTACGTGTATGTTTGGGGGTCTGAAATGGACTAATCTACTTCACAATATTCCTTATGGGAACAAATTCGGTCAGTACTGGCACCTGAACATACTTCTGGAATGAAAAAATATCGTTAACCGGGGGTCCACTGTATGTAAGTTTATTTAAGTACAGGTATACATAAGTATAATTATCAGAGTATATATAAAATATGAAATAACTTTTAAAAACATTTGAAATATTGGAGTTTCCAGACAAAATGGAGAGACTTAGTGCTTACTGAGCTCACGAAGAATGTAAACAAACAGGGTGGGGCGCGGTGACCGTATTAGAAAGTCAGGTGGGGGGAGCCGTATAGCGAGTTTTGGTCATAATTTGAAATGACCGTATTAGCGGAACGCCGTAAAGTGAAACGCCGTAAAGCGGGGCCCTGCTGTATATCAAGACTTTCCACTAATGTCAGGCAACAACAACAACAACAGCAGCAACCATAATTTAAGGTATGTGTATTTAAATTGCTAAACTTCATTAAGTTATGCAAGGGTAAATCGTAATTAAACTCTTTGACTGTCGGTGTCGTATATATACGTCTTATGAGCTAGTGTTTTTTGACGTATTAATAAGCCAAAATTCTAATGACTTCAAGTCAAGCGGGAGAAAGCTGGTAGGCCCACATGTGAGAGAATGGGTTTGTGGTGTCAGTGTGTGCATTATAAAAAAAATCCAGCACGCAGTGCATAGTGAGAAAAGGAACCCTCCGTGTTTTTTATTAAAACGCTGACTTTGAAGTGTTTTTTTGTATAGTATTTATGGTTGTATTCTCACTTTCTTGGTCTCATTTGATAGAATGGAAGATATATTACATAAATAGAAATGATTTTGATTGGTTTCATGATGAAAAAGACCTTGAAATTGAGCTCAAATTAGTGGAAATGTTTGATTTTTGCTGATGTTGAAGTGTAAACAAATGAGGTCACTGTCCAATAAGTGTCCAATTAGCCATTCTGATATGCAGTCATGAATGGGTTGATAATATTTATACAATTATTACAATAATGCAGTAGTCTACATAACAGTAAATCTTCTATTTTTTGTGTGAATAAAAATTCAAAATAGAAAGCAAGAGTAATATAAGAGGAGCCTGGAGATGTGATTAATGAACAGAGAAAATGTTATTTCAGTGCCGGGAATGTCTGCATTATTTATTCTGGACCCTATTTTGAAATTGGCATCCTTTTTAATTTGTGTGAAATTGGCCAAATTGCCAACTTCTGACCACTTTATTAGGTAATTGAAATCGGTAAATTGGCAGTTTCTTGTACTTAGTTGATAGAACAACTGGAGTTCTAAAGAATTAGCTATGAGTTTGGTCGACTGGAACAATGGAATTGACCAAAAATAGGGCTCAAAGTGGGCGAAATTGCTGATGCGTATATATCGTCGAGATCGCTAACTTCGTGAGAGTGTAATTCCATAAGTTTTTCCATCAAATTTTGTACTTTTGGTGTCATTACCATTGGAAAAAGATTCTCTATCATTTCATAAGAAAAAATAATTTTTTTCTTTGAATATTTTGTGAAACAGAGACACTTCAGGATTTGGGGTCTCGACAGTCAAAAGGTTACTCATACTGTAATAACATGCTATAATATGCCTATAAAATCTTCATGCCTTTTACAACATTTTACAAAGCATAGTGTATAATTTTAGGTGAATTGTGTTTAAAATAAAAGTTTTTTGGCTTTTTTTTGGAGGTGGCACATAACCAAATATTTCCCACGAGTTGTTCACTCCATCTGTTGTGTTTTCACATGCTTCGTTTTTCTGGATCATAACACTTGCGAAAGGTGGTTGTCTTCCGTATGTCATGTTCATATTAACCCGTAAACGGTCCAAACGTATATATACGTTTTTTCAACATTTGAAAGTGTGTAAAAAAAGTAGATCTTTTTGTTTTTTACATTTGAAAATGTGTAAAAAAAATTTTGAGCTACTTTTTTTTTGTTACATTTGAAAATATGTAAAAAAAACGTAGATCTACTTTTGTAGCACTACACATGTGAACGTAGATCTGCTTGGACCATTTACGGGTTAATAAGAAAAAAAGCTTTTCCATTGCTTTTTCACATTATGTATCTTGTGCCACAGATACAGGTGAAAACCAATTCTTGTTTTAAAAGTGTAATATTCCTCCAGCTCTAAAGATATGGAAACTTCCAGTAACCTCTCAAACAAAAATATGGTATTGTGGTTTTCTGATGAAGGGACATGTCA